TCTCGGCTCAGGACGCTGGAGGAGAAAGAGAGCGACGACGACGATGGCGGCGGTGGGCGGCACTGCGTTGCGTTGCATGGCGTTGCATAGCGTGGCATGGCGTGGCATTGCGTTGCTCTGTGTGGCATCGTGCTTCATCGCTTGGATGTTCAGATTGCACTGCTCTGCGCTGCTTTGGATTGATTTGGAGTGCTTTGGACTGGCTTGCATGCCTTTGCATTGGTCTAAATTGCTGTGCACCACATGGATTGGCACCACATGGATTGCACCGCCAATGTAACTTGCACCACCTAGATTATACCGCAGAGAGTCCAAGTCATCACAGTTTAGGGTCCACGCTGGCGAAGATTGTGACTTCGAAATTTTCAGACGTCGTTCCGGAAATGAATCAATTCTAGTTTATTTGGAAAAAAACAGACTTGTTCTAGATATCGTAGTTTCTGGAACTAGGTTGTTGGGCATGTGGAGTTTCGGAATCATTATATTCGGAATCCGGAATTCCCAGAACCGCGTGCTGGGCGATTGGGCGTCTTGGAGAGCCCTTGTACCGCCCGCCTGATGGACGGCGGTCGTTCGCGAAATCTGGACTGGGGAAGTTGGATGATCTGGATTGTGGATATCTGGGTTCGCGGAATCTTGAATTGCGTGTTGGATTATTTGAATGATCTGGACCGGGAAGTTGGATTATGTGGATTGGAAGTAAGGGAAGTTGGATTCGGGAATTTGGACTCGCGGAATCGTTGATTGGAGAAGCTTGCACCGGGAATTTGGATGCTGTCTGAGGCGGCCGGTTTTTGCAAGGGGCCAACGCCGATGTTGAAGTCGGGATCCAACGTACGCACGCACATGACATTGCCATTGGCAACAGTGACAGCCTTAGTGGGCCCCGGAAACGGCAGGGCCTTAGTGGGCCCCTTGAAAATGGAAACGGCAAAAAAACGGCGACCAGAAATGGCAACGAAAACGGCTCCAGGATTGGAACCAGAGCGGGAACCCGTAAAAGAACGGCAACGGAACGGGTAAAAAGACGGCGTCGGAACCAGCAAAATAACGGCAAAACGGAACAGGTAAAAAAACGGCCCCGTCGTTTCCAGGGCCCACTAAGGTGACAGCACACCTCCCCTACCCAGACTCCCTTGCGTTGTGAAAGAATCGCGACGGCAGGTGTTTCACCACGTTCGGCCTCTGGGGGCCCTTGCCGGACCTCGGGACCGCCAAAAGTAGATCCAGGATGAAAAACCAGTCCCAGGGAAGGTGAACAAAACAATCACGGCGTCGGGGGTCTGGGCACGGCCGGCAGTTTTTGCTCCGCATGTCGTGGTGGCGGCCCGGGCGACACGCTGTGCCATGCGAGCGGATGGCGTGGCGCCACGCTACGCGGGGCGAGGGGCTCCGGAAGGCTGGGGACGTGGAATCCTGGGGACTGGGAACTCGTGTCACGGCCAAGCGTGGTGGGCCAGAGCTGGCGGAGATACACGCTGTCCGAAAGCTCCCGACCGTACGAGCTGCGCATACGCCGCGCGCACCGGGCTCGCATCACGGAGCTCAGCGCGGATGGCGCGCAGAACGGCGCCGACACTCTCAGCATGGATCGCGCGGCGCTGACGCGCCTGCGCACGGACGCGCCCCCGCCCGCTCCCAAGGGCCCTGCAGTTGAGGGCCCACTACTAGGGGAACGAACGATGACACAAGCATAACAACTCGGACGTCCGCGCGGATTCCTCGGATCGGCGCTGGGACCCCCTGGCGGTGCTTCCGGCGCCGCCACTGGCGCGCTCCGCGCGCCAGGGAGGGGGGTCCGGCGCGGATTCAAGAGATCCGCGTGGACCTCCAAGTTTGTATGTTTATGGCATTGTTTGTTCCCAAACTGTATTTGTACGCGTTCGGCGCCCTGGGCACCACCGCCGAGCGCACCGCCGCGCGCCACCGGGCTCGCCGCACGGACCTCACCGCGAGGGCGCGCAGGGGATGGCGCCGCCCACCTGTGGAAGCAGGGCGGCGACCTCGCAGGGAGGGTTTTTTTTCGTCGCGGCGCTCCAGCATCACGAGCTTTCGCGTTGGCGCCCTTGGTGATGGGCCTGTTTTCCACCACCGCCACCATAGGTTGGAGGGGGGAAGGAGGAGGAGGACAAGGAGGACGAGGACGAATAGGAGGAGGATGAGGAGGAGGAGGTGGAGGAGGAGGAGGAGGAGGAGGAGGAAGCGGACCCCCTCCCCGTCCGATTTATGGTGGTGGTGGTGGCGGTGGTGGAAAACAGGCCCATCATTTGGAGCACGTCAAGGTTCTTCGGTCGCAACTGATGGGCTCCTCGTAGGTACTCGCAAGTCCGCCTTCAGGTCACATTGGCGTGCACCAGCGTCTGGTAACCGATGAGGAGACGCCGATGTAGCGTCGCTTAGCGTCGGCTGGACTCGATTTAGCGTCGATTCGTGTCGGCTGTCGTCGATTGGAGTCGGTTCGCAAGAGCCAGCTGGATGGTATGGGAGGCTCCCATGAGCTGCCACAGAAGGGTTTCGGGGTTGCGTCAGGCCCCGGCCGAGGCCGATGAGCCTCCCAAGGGCGCGCGGTTGCCAAAGAGGACAAGGGCTCGGAGGGAGGGGTGGGAGGTGGTGGGAGCACGAAGGTGTTGGAGACGAGTGAAGAGGACAGGGGGCGGGGGAGGGAGCGGAGGAATGTGGGACTGGGGGGAGGGGGGAGGAGAGCGACCGCGAGAGCGGGCAGGAAAATATAGGGGGAGGAGGAAGCAGAGGGAAGGCGGCAAGGGAGGCCGGGAGAGGAAAAGGGGGAAGGATGGGGAGGGGGAAGATGGCGGCGGGAGCTGCGGAGGAGGATGATGATGATTGAGGATTGGCGAGGGAGCAGGGGATGAGGGGTAAGGGAGCTCCTGCGCAGGTTGCGGGAGCAGCATGTGGCGGAGCTCGAAACGAAGCTGCTGAACAGCGAGAAGGAGGTCCAGAAGATGAGGGTTCCATTGGGACGCAAGAGCATTTGTCATGACGCGCGCATCCCCCGCTCAATCCGTCCCCCAGGGAGGGGGAGAGGAGGAGTAGGAGGGGACGGAGAGGGGGACCGAGGGGCAGGAGGAGGAAAAGGAGGAAAACAAGTGTGAAACTTAGACGCGTCAGCGATGTTGTGATGAACCCTCCGTCACATTTCCCTTGTCATCTGTCCCTGCAAGATTTTGTCTTCATTGCGGGAAGTGCCCTATTGGGAGACAACCGTTTGAGAATTTCCATTCGTGCCAAGCATACAATTCCTGGCTGTTCAACGACGCGAATCTACGTGACCGTTGCATCCTGACAGTCCGAGAACGTGCCAGAACGCCATCCCTGGGACTTTGACACAGCGAAGCAAAGTAACTGCCGCGTCTTGGCAATCCTAATTCGTGCTTGGAAACGCAGTTCCTGGTATTCCAGCCATACGAAAGCGCTGAGGCGAGACCTGCATGTTGAAGAGTTGCAATCCTGCATCCCTGAACTTGCTGCTAACATTTAACAGGCAGATGCTCGGCGGGCAGAGCCACACTGTCAGAAGGACCCGCCCTCCATCCTTGAAGCCTCTGCAAACTTTTGTGAAGAATGTGCGCGGCGGTCAGGTGAGAGCAACGTTTTTAGCAGGACCTGGCTATCCGTGAAGTCGCTGCCAGCTTTTCAGGCGAGTGTGCGCGGCGCTGACGCGAGAGCAATTGTAACGAAACGGCCCGCCCTCCATCTCTGAAATTGCTGCAAACGTGTAAGGCAAACATGCGCGTCGCGAATGCGACCACATTTTGAAGACCACCCGACCTCCACCCGTAAATTGTTTTGCACATATGAAGCTTCAGGGTCGTAACTTGCGAGGACCTCCCAGGCACAACGCCCAGCACGCCCTACCGACACGTCTGGGGGTGCGAGGAGGAGCACGACGACGAGAAGGAGGAGGAGGAGGAGCAGGCCTGAGGAGCATAACGACGATGACGATGGTGGTAATGACGATGAGTAGGAGGATGATCATCATGATGAAAGTCGCGATGCTGATGAGGATGTGGATGCGGACGACGATGGAGATGGGGATGTTGAGGATGAGTTTGATGATGAGGATGGTGATGGTGGCGATGATGGCAGGATATGCTAGGGTATTGGACGATGTGGTATGATAGGAGTTGTTCAGCTTTGTCTTTATATGGTACGGCATGTCATGCTGTGATGCGGTGTGCTATACTCTGAGAGGGCATGGCACAACGTGATATGAGGAGGAGGAGGAGGAGGAGGAGGAGGAGGAAGAGGAGGAGGAGGAGGAGGAGCAAGAGCAGCAGTGGCAGCAGCAGCTGGAGCAGGAGCGCACGGCGCGAGCGAGCGAGCGAGCGAGAGAGAGGGAGAGAGAGACGCGCTCTGCCGGCCGGCGGGGCCTCCCGGGAGTGGAACGAGAGGCGCGCGGCGGGGCCCCCCATCCCGCAAAAAACGCCTGGAGTTCTCAGAGACGTGCCCGGCCTCCTTGCTTCTCACGCGCGGGGGAGGAGGAGGAGGAGGAGGAGGAGGAGGAGGAGGAGGAGGAGGAGGAGGAGGAGGATGAGGAGGAGGAGGAGAGAGGAGGAGGAGGAAGGAGGAGGGAGGAGAGAGGAGGAGGAGGGGAGGAGGAGGAGGTAGGAGGAGTGAGGATGAGAGGAGGGAGGAGGAGGAAGGAGGAGGAGGAGGAGGAGGAGAGAGGAGGAGGATGAGGAGGAGGAGGAGGAGGAGGAGGAGGAGGAGGAGGAGGGAGGAGAGGAGAGGAGGAGGAGGAAAGAGGAGGAGGAGGAGGAGGAGGAGGAGGAGGAGGAGGAGGAGGAGAGAGGAGGAGAGAGGAAGGAGGAGGAGGAGAGAGGTAGGAGGAGGAGGAGGGAGGAGGCGGAGAGGAGGAGGAGGAGAGGAGGAGGAGGAGGAGGAGGAGGAGGAGGAGGAGGAGGAGGAGGAGGAGGGAGCCGGAGGGGGGGCCAACCCGGCCCCGGGCCGCCCCCGCCCTCCGTCAGTGCTGGGCGCCGTGGGCAGCAGTAGGAGTTTGATTCTCACGCGCGGAGGAAGGGAGTGCGTAAAACAGGGCTAGGATCAGGATAAATCGCTCCAGAGCGTTCCGGAGCGCTCTCAGAGCGTTCCGGAACGCTCTGGAGCGGCCGCGGCGCCCAAAACACGCTCCAAGCCCGCCGATTCTCAGAGTTGTCGAGGTATCCCGATCCGATTTTGTCCCGATCTTCGCGTCGTTTTTGTGCGGGATGGAGCGGGGGAACCGGAGGGGGGGCCACCCCGGCCCCGGGCCGCCCCCGCCCCCTGTCAGTGTTGGGCGCCGTGGGCAGCAGGAGCCTGCAGCGGGCGCACCAATTCAGAAGCCAGCCTGCCAGCGAGGGCCTCACGGACAGTTTGGTTCCCTGGAGGCCCTAACTTGTCTCGAATTGACGATGGGTTGTGGCCGAAAGCTCTCAGTCGAGCTGAGCAGCTCACTCGTCCTGTTCCTGTTCCCCTTTGGAACCATGGGGTGGCTTGCTAGGTCCAAACAAAAAGTGGTCTTAAGACAATAGGCATTACAGCAAGATGCCGCCTGAAATCAATTTGCCGACAATATGCCTCATAGTATGCATCTTCGGTCAAAACCAGGCGCTCAGGATGATCCGTTGCAGCGAAGCGCCCTTGCATCCATGCATCCCGGGCATTCTGTGCATGCCTCCCGTTTCCTCGGCATACGGCTGCTTCTGACACCTAGAAGTGTTGTAAGGCGCCTTGCGTCCTCATGCGTCATCCTTCTGGCATGTCTGACCGCACTGCATAGCGGGAGGCCTCGCGCACGACCAGCCTTGGAGGACGCGCCCCCTCTCCGCGGGCGTTCTACTTCAGACTCAGGCGAGTTTACGTGTATGGCATTTCGCTCCCCCTTCCCGCCTTCCCGCCTTCTTTTCAGATAGCCAAGGCGTGAGAATGGGTCCCCGCTTGCGTGAGGTCCAGATTTCCTCTTGGGCTTCGCCACGCCCCCCCCCCTCCCCCCTCCATGCAAGTTGCGGTCAGGCACTTTGGCTCAGCGTGTCGCGACGTCGGTTCTGCCCACCACGCTTCGGCCCGGAACGCTTACCACGTCCACCAGTGCCTCAGGCAGCAACGTCCCAAAGGTTCCCCGGCCTCCCGCACAGAAGGGCGGACGGACACGCCACTCGCTCGCAGGGCACAGCGCGTCGCCGGGACCGCCGCCGCAACATGCCGAGCAAGAGCCCCCGACCGCAAAAATCTGCCAGCGTCTAGCCTAAATCAGGAGGGGAAACACACACACACAGACACAATGAATCGTCGATTCCCAGGAAAACATGGGAAAATATGGGAAGTGGGGGGGAAGACAAAAAGCGAGAAAATATAGGAAAATATGGGGGATCTTCTTATTTGTGTGTATTTATTTGTGTGTCCTGGGGCCCCTTTACTAAAAGCAGCCTCCTCCCGGCAGACGGACCTGATGCTCGGCCTGGAGGCTGCGGCGAAGCGTGCCGAGGAGGCCACGGCGACGGTGCAGCAGCAGGAGGAGGAGGCGCGGGGCGCGGGCTTTGTGTTTAACGGACGAAGAACGGTATAAAATACACTTTTTCGCCGTCGGGGACACCTGCCCCTGAGGGGCTGGAAAGTTGATACCCTTACGGTGGCACCGTAGGGGTATAAACTTTCCAGCCGCCCAGGGGCAGGCGCCCCCGACAGCGAAAAAGTGTATTTTATACCGTTCTCCGCCCGTTAATTTGTGGCAAGCGGGGCACGACCCTCATCGATTCGCCTCGAGGCAAGCCCAGGCCCTTCCGCGTCGTGGGAGAATCACGACGGACGGTTTTTTCCTAATTTTCGGGCCCTTGGGGGGGGCCTTGGGGACTAGGACCTTCTTGCCTCAGGCTGCCTCAAGACCCGATGTTCTCCCCATGTAGATCGAGCCTCGACCCTCGAAGATCCATCCCCCTCCTCCTGCTCCCCCAGAGGTGTGGGGGGGGCGGAGCGGTGGCCGACGTTTTTGTCGGTGTCGCCGTCGCCGTCGTCGTCGTCGTCTTCGTCGTCGCCGCCGTCGTAGTCGTCGTCGTTGCCGTCGCCAGACGAGCGTATGCCCTGGGAGGGCCGACCCGGGCGCAGTGGCCAGCGGCAGCAGTCTGCCGCGGAGGCCTCGGCGGGGGGGGCTTCTGGAGGCCGCGGAAGCCGCGGTAACCGCGGGGCGGCAGCGTCTACGATGATGCCGTCGCGGGGGTCCCAGTGAGCGGGGTCCATGGCAACTCCTCCTCCTCCTCCTCCTCCTCCTCCTCCTCCTCCTCCTCCTCCTCCTCCTCCTCCTCCTCCTCTTTCCCCTCCTCCTCCTCCTGCCCTTTCCCGCGGGAGCCGAAAAGGATACCGCTACTCCGCGGCAGTTTTCCACCAGTGCGGCCGGTTCGCCCAGGTCAGGACCGCCCGCTTCAGTGCGCGGGCCGCCTTCCCCCACGGCGCGCAGGCTGGCGCCTCCCTGTGCTGACGGTCTTCCGAAATTGGCTTCATCATAGGGGCCCTCACTTGGTCCGAAGGAGCCAACGTGGGGGGTGCTCGCATTGTGGCACCCCCAGCAACTGAGCGAGCAGAGCGTGAAAACGCTGCGGAGCCAGTGCGCCCCATTACATCATCGCTCGTGCGCAGAACTCGGCCAAGGCTTTCGAGCAGCAGCGGCCGCCAAGCAAGTCGGGAAGGCCTGGGTTCTGGAGGTCCACCGACACCTGCGGCGTGGATGTCTTAATACAAAGCCGTGCAGCACAAGCTCGAGGCCATGTCTGCGGAACTCAGGAAGTTCAAGTCGGGCAAGAGAAGCGCCGACACCCCTCCCAACAAAACTCGGCCGACAAGGGCGAAAGTGATAGGGAGCAAAATGCTGTCAAGCGCGACGCGCTGTACGAGCGGAGAACAGTTTCCGAACATTATATCAAACATGGAGGAAGTACAAACTCCGATGGCGATGACCCCGTTCTCGCAGGGGCTCGGAAGCAACTTGAAGACGTGCGAGGTCAGCATCGAGCGCTACGGCCACCAGTCTCGGCTCACAAAGCGCCCCTTGCCAAGCTGGAAAAGTGCCACCTCCAGAAGGATTCGCTCGACAAGGAGCTCGCCTTTTCTACGACAGGAAGCTTGCCCAGCTCCGGTCGGACATGCGCGGCAAGCAGTCGGCTACCGATGCGAAGGAGAAGGTTAGCGTGGTGCTCGAGCGCGAGGTCGAGGACACTGCAGCGCAGATTCGTCGGCAGCGAGGCGGTGTGCGCACTGAGCAAGCACCGCGGCGCCAAGCGATCCCTGAGGACTTCCTGGCGCAAGCGGCGGGCGCGGAATCTCTCGCGGCATATCCTGCGATGGTCGAGTACCTCCAGCAGACGCAGAGCAGCGCAAAGTTAGCCAAGCCACAGAAGCTGCCCCACTCCGTCATCAATGAGTATAGGTCAAGAGCAAGGTTGTACTTGAAGAGCCTGATGTTCACATGGATTCCCCTCCTGATGGCCCAGGTGCCGCGCGCAACTGTCTGCGGGAGGCGGAGGTGGCACCAGCTCAGATGACGGCGGCGAAGGAGGACAGAAGCGATCTCCACCTGAGTTATCTATGGGGGAGGCCTTGGAGCTGTCGGAGAAGCCCCAGGCAGACGGGTCCGCCGACCAGGTTGATATGCCAGGCCCAGTGAACGACTTGCGCGAAAGTAGCCACTTGCCGCGAATTGGTGGCACGCCTGTCGTCGGCGGCGAGACACGAGGCGCTGGCGCCCCCGAGCTCCGCCAACAGCAGGCACGGCCACTCGAAACTTTCAATGCGAGCCAAGGAAAGCAGACATTGAACAACACGTCGGAACGCACGCGCGCGCTGGAGGTGCTATCACGAGAGAGGGCATGGTGCATCTGATGCCTCAGAGGTTTCAAGTTGGTCTGGCCGACGAGGCTGGGCTTGTGTCACCGATCCTGTTTGCCCGACTCGAGGGGGTCTACTTGGTGCAGGGGAGGCAGTGCTCGTTCGAGCCGAAGCTGGTATTCGCATGGCTGGCCGTGCTGTATTGGTTCCTCATCGTGCGCTGCGCGTTGCGGTGGATGTCCCAGGAAGGGCAACGATGGATCTCATCAACATGCATGTGTCTTCTGCCGAAGGAATCACAGTCAGAAGCGCATCCATCCTTGCTCGAGCGGGGCTGGCCCTTGCCGGTCAGCTCGCGCCTCGCGCCGTTGGTGGTGAGTGATTGGAACATGGGGCCAGGTGTCATCAACGCAGTGGCATTTCCTCTTGCATCCAAAGCTGCAACGTGCACCCGCGCTTGCAACGTGCGGAACGGTCGCGCCCTTTAGTACGATTGATGTATTATCTCTGCCTGCGGCTGCGATGCGATTGTTTCAGGAAGCGCCCGTCGACGCGACGCGGGCCATTGCGCCGCGCCGCCCAGTTCAGATTCGCGCGTCAGCCGCAGGTAACAAGGTCCAAGTACTAACGCGCCCGGTGGTCTCATGGCCCCCTGCAGGTCTAGTTGCGGGCCCTCTCTTTTTCCAGGTGAAAACTGGCCCATGGAGGAACGCTATGCCGCGAGCGCGCTAGCTGCTGACGCTGCTCGGGGCCCCCGCTCAATGGCATGGGGGCAGTTCATTTCGACGTTTGCGGCGGGGCTGGAACGAGCGCGCCCGGCGCTGAGGGCCGCGCCGGTTGTCCGAGAGCAGAGTGGACTGATGTGCGGATGTGACAGGGCGAAGCTGGCAGACGAGACAATCTGTTTTCTCGGTCCACAGGCTTCCCCGGGCTGGGTCCACCTGCTCGGCTGGAGGGCGGCGCGGCCACCGCGCGTCGGCTCATCATCCGCAATTTTCATCCTGATCAGCTTCGCGAGTTCCTTGGAGATTGCGAGGGCGACGCTCGTGCTATCCAGCAGGGGGCCGAGTGCGCGTGCTGGAGGGGCTCGTGGAATGCGTCGCCTGACGTCGTGCAAGGAGGTGCAGCAACCCACGGTGGCCAAGACGGAGAGAGGCCTCCCGTCGGCGCATCCGCACCAGGTCGCCGAGTCCAAGGTCGAGACCCACTCTGCGCTATGGCAAGCCACCGCGACGCCTCCTACATCATGGATTCCTGATGGGTATTCTCTGTCGCCTGCCGCGCCACAGGAGATGCGCGATGTTGCCGCTACTTTCCCGCTCAGCAGTGCTAGGAGCTTGGATAGGATATGCCCTCGGAGCCTGTTGTGCCTTAGCGATGCCAGTCTTGCAGCGTTGGGTATTCTGTTTATGGTACTCGAGTCTTTGGGTAGTTTACTGCAGCAGATATTGCGGACGCCGGTTCCGATGCCCCCGATGCATCAGGGGGGGACATCACTCGATTGCGCTGCATGCTGCGGTCTGCCGAGCGCGGCAGTGACTTCGACGACCAGCTCTGGACAGATTTCAAAGGCCATTGCACAGAGCCTGTTTGAAGCAGGTCCGCAGACGATTCAGCATGGCAGGTTGCCGCACGAGTCGAGGCATGTGTTCGGGGCGACCGCGAGGGTCTGCCCGATCGACATTTGCGAACTGCGGAGACGTTCTGCAGTATCAGTGCCCCGTCGGCGGTCGCGCACCTTTTTGTTCAACAGCTGGCATGCGCCTCGGCTCGCACGACTGCTTCGCCACCGCAGCCAGTTTCCTGTTCGCGCGGCTCGTGGCTTTCCTGCAGGAGACGCATGCGCTGGTATAGGTATCAAAGTGCACGATGCGGAATCATAATATCGCAACTTGACGTTGCATAGGGAAGCTTTGTTTTTCTTCCATCTGACATGGATAACATCAGCCCTGGAGTGGAAGCGGGCCTTCGGGCGCAATGTATTGCGACGGCAGGTCATGCAGGCATGGGATTCAAGCAAACGGGTGTAAGTAGAGGAGCGGCTTTCAACGGGAGATGGCCATCGTTTGTTTTGAGGCTGACATTGGTGCCATCGTCGCCGAGAGCCTCGGCTTGAAATCACAGGCTGATAGGAGATCGACTCTTTAGATTGGCACGGGTCTGGCTTGCGGTCGTTCTCGCGATGCGGTAGAAGCAGAAGAGCAGGCAAGTCAAGCTCCAGATGTGCGTCCGCAAGCTCAAACGGCATCGTCGAGTAGCGCCTGTCAAGAGAAAGGAGCGCATCGGCAAGATCTTGGATGCAGGAGCCCGCCCTGGACCGACATGCAGCATCGAGCTCAGCGGCCTGGACGACAGCGAGCTGACCCAACTTCGCCGTGAGTATTTCAAGTTTGCGAAGCCTTACCATGGACGTGGTTCTGTTTCAGCGACAGTTGCGTTGGAGGGGGATCCTGCTGCCGCCAGGCCATCGCGCCTGCCCTGCTGTATCCGAGAATGACTTGGGCAGCGGTGACACGTACCGCAGATGCCTAGGTAAGTATTGTGCAGTTGCTGATTTGGCGGGGCAAGCGCCTCGCGGTCGTCATAGCCACGGTTTATCTTGAAAGTCTTCGCGCTGACCATTTCTAGCGCGCGGCGAGATTATCGCGGCGCAGAGATCCCGCTGCGGCAGCTCGCGACTGAAGTCGCGAAGATTCTCATGTCGCAAGGGCTCAAACAACAACATGAGTTGCAACTTGCTGAACGTTGCGAGCTAGCCGAAGGCACCCGCATGACTTTCGATAGCCGCAGGCCCTGCGTCCGCCCCAAGATTCGCAAGTATACGTCGTGCCAGAAGTTCCTGGCAAAGTCCAGCGCAACTGTTAATTGCTGGACGCGTGCGCGAGGGAGGCCGCGAGCTTACGAGACTGCTGGGTAGTGCTGGTTGCTGCGGCCTCGCCGGCGCGATCCGCCGTCGCCCGCTCGCATTCACGAAGGGCGCCGCTGTGGCAGCGCGGGCGGAAGCGGATGCGCCGGCGAGCTACATCCACGTGGGCATCGACAGCGAGGAGATGATCTTGAGCAACGTGCATTTTGCCCACCTCGCGCCTGGAGCGCAGTTTTTTGTCGCTCCGATGGATGGTGGACCTGTTGATCTTAGTCCTGATGAAGTTGTTCAGTAAGCTTTTTCCCGGTGTATCTGCCATTGAGCTAGCCACAAGTGGGTCATGCTCGAAGCCTCCTCTGACATAACTGCAGAGAGCTAGATTGGCCGTGGTCTGACGCCATCCAGATGGCCCTGATCCGTTGATGGCCGTCTTCGGCGCAGTGCCGCCAGCGATCCCCCGGACCTCTGTCGTCGCGGAGCACATTGGCCTTGCGCGCGCGGGTCAGGTCGCGGACAGGCCGACGACGCTCCACATCGACCACCTCGGGGCAATGCGCACTGCAAACAGGACGCGTGAGCAGCCGAATGTAGACCGTTCGGTGCATGCATGCGCGCAGGTTTCGGTGAATTCGATACCTGGCCGATGTTGCAGAGTGCGCAGCATGTGACAGCGCACCGTAGCGGAGGTGAGCACGATCAGTCGTCACTTAAGCAGCGTAGAGTGACAGATGCTACTATTGCCGCTGATATTTTTGCTAGGCAAGCAGTTTCAGTCCATCCTTGTGTGCCACCTAATTTCGCCGAGCGGGTGGGAAAGTGTTTGCGGCGAACTGTTATTCTTGTCCGTCTCGCCGCTGCTGCGCTCCCTCGCTACGGGCAGGAAGAGCGTTGGCAGCGACTTCCGAGTTTCAGGCGCTGTCGGAATGTTCGGAGGGAGGGGTGGCACGACTGGGGTGAGGACGGAGATTGGCGTGCAATGCCGAGCGCGCCTGTCAGTTTTGCAGGACCGGGCTGTTGACTGTCCTTTGTCGGAGTGTAGAGGCGCGCCCGAGTTTCTCCGCACGCATCTCCAACAAATAGCCACCGCCTGGTGGCAGTGCACCAATCGGGTGAGGGACGCGAGGGCGCGGTCGGCGATGTTGACCGCCCAGTCTTTGTGTGAACGCAGTGCGACGCATGGACTCAGCAGATTTAGGCCTCCCAGATGGGGTCGGAGTAGGTGGGCTCGGAGCATCACGCCGCATCGCCGATGCATCGACGATGGGGCTCGATGCGGAGCCCGGCGATCGCCACGCGGACATCGCCGATGTATCGCCGATGTTGCCGGCGCATCGATGATGCATCGGCGATGTATCGCCGAGGTATGGGCGATGCGGCGCGATCTTCTGATGCCATGATGTCCGACCCCATCTAGGAGGCCTCGAGCAGAGGACGAAACATATGCTGAGGAGCCCCTGCGTACGCCCGACCCCAGAAGTGTCAGCGATCCTTCGTAATTGGCGTCTGGGCATCGGGCCGAAACCGATGCTGCGCAAACGGGAGGATCGTGTTGTGCCCGCCGCGCGAGCTGTGCCCCCCCCCGTCGTGTAGCTCGGGCCGAGGCCACAAGCGCGTCGACGCGGCCGAGTTCGGATCTGGCGCGTGCGGATGAGGTCAGGACGGCCTCGCGTGCGGAGGCCGCGCAACTCTCGGGCGCTTCGGTAGGAGCGAAAGTGGCGCAGGGGATGAAGTAACCCCCCAAAGCGCCGCCCTGCTGAGGGCGCCGGCCCATCGTCATGAGACGGGTCCGCCGCAAGCGTTGTTCTTCTTCGTGTGTGTTCCTTCTTCTGCTTATTCTTCTTTTTTTTCTTCCTCTTCTTCTTCCTCCTGCCCCTCCTCGTCTTCCGTCTGTCCATCCTCCTCGTCCTCGTCCTCCTTCTCATCCGCCATCCCCAAGTCGAGCGGTACCTTTTATATACCTTGCCTGCGTCGCCCGCCAGTTTTCCCGCCGCCATTTGCCGCCCACGGCGGCCGCCTCCTTGCCCGTCTGATTCGAGTTCGATCCCTTCCGTTTGACCTTCATGTTTTCACGAGCATCCGCTTACATCCATCTTCTCATTGTTTAGTCCTCCTCCTCCTCCTCCTCGCTCGATCGTTCGCTCGCTCACCTGAGGGCCAAGAGGTTAGAAAAACATGTTTGACAAAAAAGATGGTATGCGAAACACAAATAATCCCCCTGACCAGCAGGCACGTTCAAGAGGGGAGGAGGGAGGCGGGAACACAGGCAGGCCCATCCTGCCCGAGTTGCCAAACCTGCCAGACTCAGCACTCGCAGGAGCCTCGGTCAGGAAGTCCGTGTAGGGAAGTGGTCGCACGTCTCTCGTGCCAGAGGGCAGGGGCCCCTCCTCTTCATCCTCCTCCTCCTTCTCCTCCTCCTCCTCCTCCTCCTTCTCCTCATCCATCTTCCTACATCCTTCTCCCTCGTCCCCTCCTTCCTCCTCCATCGCCTCCCCCTTTCCCGCCTTTCGTCCTCCTCTTTTTCGCGCTCTCCGCTTGCCGAGGATCCTGCGACGGCGCACTCGGCAGTGGGGGATACACGAGCGCACGATGTCGAGAGCATCGACGCGGGGGCAGAGAGACACGTGGGGGCGAAGGCGGACAGCAATTCCTGTCCACCTTGCGGCAGGATCCACCGTCGGGGTCGCCGCGGACGCTGTCCACCTGCGGCGTGGGTCGCCTGCCCAACAGCCCAAACGCGGCCGCCGTCCGTTTGGGACAACATCGAAATTGACCGCACAGACGGATCAAGGGGGCGTGGATCAGCAACGGGTCCCGTTTCCATGGGAGATCGCGGATTTCCGCCGCCGGCCGAGGCGGCACCAGCCGCATTTTGGGGGAGGGCCTCCCCCGCGATCCATGGATCTGGCGACCGCGCGCTAGATCCATGGATCGCTAATCCATGTTTGCGCGTCTCGGGGGCGCACACGCGCCCTTGATCCATGTTTTCGATCGCCTGGTCCACCTTTCCCCTCCTCCTCTTGGTGGCAAGGAGGCTCCTCCTCCTCCTCCTCCTCCTCCTCCTCCTCCTCCTCCTCCTCCTCCTCCTCCTCCTCCTCCTCCTCCTCCTCCTCCTCCTCCTCCTCCTCCTCCTCCTCCTCTTGGTAGCACGGCGGCCTCCCCCTCGCTCTGGCCGTCCCCGCTCCGGGCGCGCCAGACGCTCGGCCAAGCCCCCCCGGAGCTGCCCGGGGGCCCCCACAGACGGGGTGGCGCGGCCACGCCGTGCGGTGAGTCGGTGGGGGCTCGGGGTCAGCGCACGGTTTTGGGACTCGTGTCGCTCTCCGAGGAGTCTCTCGGGCGACTGGGGCATCCCAGGTCCCAAGACCGTGCGTCGACAGACCGTGCGGGGAGGTCTGGGGGGATGTCGAGGTCACCGCACGGTCTGTCACCGCACCGTTTCGGGACTCCGCAGCTGCGCCAGTCGGTAAACGACTTCCCGGGCTTCCGGGTCGAGGGGAGAAGGAGTTCCACAGGGGCAACTGGCTCCGGAAACCCGGGGCCCTTCATTCTCGGGGCCAGCTGTTCATCCAGGCCCGTTTTCTGATTGCCCCCAGCGCCTGGGAGGGTCTGAAGGACCCAGATGAGTTGCGAAAGAGATTGTGTGTGGCATATTTCTCAGGGCCCAGGCTCCTGATGCTGACCCCCTCGTTTTTTGGCCAGCGTTCCTTCAGCAGCTTCAGAACAGCAGAAGCTACAATCAAACAGAAACGAACATCAAGCACAACGTGCTTCACTGTGCGCAGATTGATGCTGTTCACAGGGATGTGACCTACTTTTTCACAGGCCGCTTGCGCGCACACGGAGGGCCGCGCACGCAAGTGGCTGGGCCAATGGTTTTGCCGGCCCCGCTGTCTTAGGCCAGGACGCTCTTGACCACAGCCCTGGCTGCACGAGCCGCCACGAAGACAACCCATATCCCAGACGATCTGGTTTTTGTTCATGCACACCCGCGTTTCCTCGATTCGGCTTCTGGGGCCCCTTATCGGGCGCTGGGGCCATCAGAACTGGATCCGGAACGAAAATCGACCTTCGATGAAGGTGTCGAGGCCTCTGGGGCCGCGCACTGATGAAGTCACATCGTCGTTTGCTTGGGAGGGTTCTGAAGGAAGAGGGTAATCCAAGCCGATGCCAAGGCGAATGCAAAGGCTAAAGCCATAGCCATAGCTAACACCACGACCAACTCTAAATGTAGAGCTGGCATTGGAATTAACGACGAAGCTGAAGCAAGCGTCTAGTGCAATATTACGTTTCACATCAACGCTGTATTCAAGTCCAAACATACATACTACACATGCAATTGAGTTTCATGGGCGTGATCGCATGAGAAGGCTACGCCAACACAGTCAAGCTAGTTAGTCCCGTTGCCCAGCCAAGTTTTGACTTGCATGCGCAGCTTCGTAACTTCACGCATGTCCCTGCGGTTGTGCCTAGGTGCCTATGTCCCGGTTGCCGTGCCGCGACGTCCGACGGCCGTCGGACAGTAATGTTGTTTCGCGCAGAGTTGTTAGATCGAGGCGTCAGCCAGCTGGTGGTGCAAATCAATGGCGTCGTCTCGCCACCGTCGCTACATCCGCTTTGCTGTCTGCCGTGGATCGGCGCGCGCCTGGCGTCTGGCGTTCGCCCGACGTCTGTCGACATTCGGGTGCTCTACCATGTGCACGTGCGTCCGACGTCACCAGCGCATGGTACAGTGGAGACCCATGCCAAGAAACAACCTGACTGTTTCCAGTGTGCTCTGGGTTTCCCGGGTTTCGGTGACTCTGCGATGGAGAGTGTGACGTTGCCACACCAAAAGTCCATGGACGTCCTGGGGCCTCAAGGTTGGGTTTCGTGTGGAAGGTTCCTTGAGGTCGGGCCCCTACTGTATTGTGCCACGCACCTAGAGGTCGCCAGAAAAGGCGGCGGTGACTTCGCAGCGCAGGGTTCAGTCGCATTCTCGAGACTCGGCTTGTCACGAGCGTTGGCGATACGAGGCGGTCGAATGGGCACAGAGAGCGCACCCAGGTGTCTGACATCGTGCTGCACATGGAGCAGACCGGGAAGATGTCCGAGGGCGCAGCGAAAATGGCATTGAAGGTGCAGGAGGAACTGCGATCCACGCGCAGTAACCTGCAGGGCGAGCTGAAGGCGGAGCTGTCGCGACTAGCGGAGGATCTCCGTCGCGAGATCTCGCAGGGCTTGGCGGAGCTCGTCGCCCGTCTCTCTGAGACCGAAGCCGCTGTGAGGCAGTCCGGCAAAGCAGACCTAGGTCGCTTGGCGGAGGAGATCCACAGCGAGCTGCTGGTGGGGCTGGGCCGAGGCGAGGCCATGGCGAAGAAGGCCGAGGAGAGCGCGCGGCAGCACATCGACGCGGCCGTGCAGCAGCTGAGCGAGGCGCGGGCCGCGGAGACAGGGGTGCTCGTGCAGCAGTGCATGGACAGCACGGCCGCTTCTGCGGCCCAGGTGGCAGAACTGCGGCTGCAGCTGGACGAGAGCGCGAAGGTCGCCGGCAGTGCTGCCGAGCTGGCCGCGCAGGTGGGCGGAGAGCTGCAGAGCTCCCGCGCCGCGATGCAGGGCGAGCTGCAGGCAGGCCTGGGCCGCCTCGCGGAAGAGCTCCGCGGCGAGCTGTCGTTGGGCCTGGAGAGCCTCGCGAGCCGCCTGGGCTCCGAGGCCGCCGCGAGGCAGGCCCAGGCCGAGGAGGCCACACAGCAGTGGATCGGCACGGCCGTGCAGGAGCAGGAGAAGGCGCGGGCTGCAGAAGTGGCACAGCTCACGCTGCAGGTTGAGGAGAGTGCCAGGGTCGCCGGCAGTGCTGCCGAGATGGCCGCGAGGGCGGGCGACGAGCTGAAGGCGTCCAGCGCCACGCTGCAGGAAGAGCTGCAGGCTGAGCTTGCCCGCCTGGCGGAGGAGATGCGTGGCGAGCAGTCGGCGGGCCTGGAGCGCCTATCCGACAGCCTCGGCGCGGAGGCCATGGAGGCTGCGTCGAGGCAGGCCAACACGGCCGATCGCGCTGCGGAGATGGCCGCCAAGGCGCTGGAGGAGTTGGAGACCACGCGCAGCGCCCTGCAGGAGGAGTTGCAGAGGGAGCTGGTGCACGCTGCGGAGGACCTTTGGGCTACCGCTGCGACCGCCCGGCCTGATCCCCCGTCCCCATCCTCCCTACACCACCCCCCTCCCCCCTCTCGCGAGACAGTCGTACGGCTCGCCATGGGCGCAGTGTGGGGGGCAGGGGGGAGGTCCAACGCCGACCCAGGGTATCCGCGCGAGTTTCCGCCCTTTTCCCTGCCCCGCCCCCCCCCCCGCCCTCCCTCCCCCACACCTGTTGAGCTCTCCTTGGGGGGGGGGGCCCCCCGCTCTCCTTGGGGGGGGGGGGGGGGGCAGGATGAGGGAGCGGGATGAGGGAAGATCGGAGTAGGAGTCGGGGGGGTGAGGCAGAAGGAGGAGGAGGATGAGGGAGAGAGGAGGGGGAGGGGAGGGGAGGAGGAGGAGGAGGAGGAGGAGGAGGAGGCGGAGGAGGAGGATGAGGAGTCGGGGAGGAGGAGGAGGACGAGGAGGGGTGAGGGAGAGGGGATGAGGAGGGGTGAGGGAGAGGGGAGAAGGGGAGAAGGAGAGGAGGAGGAGGGACAGAGAGAAGAGGAGGGGAGGAGGAAGGAGGAGGAGGAGGAGAGGAGGAGGAGGAGGAGGAGGAGGAGGAGGAGGAGCAGGGGAGGAAGAGGGAGGAGGAGGAGGAGAAGGAGGAGGAGGAGGGGGAAAGAGGAGAAGGAGGAAAGAGGAGAAGGAGGAGGAGGAGGAGGAGGGAGTGAGGTGAGGGAGGAGGGAGAGGTGAGGCAGAGGTGAGATGAGGAGGAGGCGGAGGAGGAGGATGAGGAAGGAGGGGGAGGAGGAGGAGGAGGAAGGGGGAGGAGGTGGAGGAGGAGGAGGAGGAGGAGGAGGAGGAGGAGGAGGAGGAGGAGGAGGAGGAGGAGGAGGGGTGACGGGAGCACAGGCCTATTACTGCGCACCCGTGTCCACTGCGGGAGACGGCTGCTAAGCCCCGCGGGCTGTGCAGCGGGAGCTGCGTAGCGTGCGGTGGTTGGCTCCGTGGCGTGAGTTTGCCCCGGCCGTGCGTCTGCCCATCTCGTCGCCTGTCCGCGCTCCAGCGCGGCAGCGGCTGTCCCGACAGGTACGAGCTCCACCCCCTTTGAAGCGGCTGCCACCAGTTCGCTGCGGTTGGCGCCGGGGCCAAGGACAACCTTAGCATCGAAGGGTTTTACCCTTGAGCTCCACGGTGCACGTTATAGCATCCATCGTTCGGGGTATCTGGATGGCGCCGTGAGGCTTCGACGAACAGGCTCGGATTCTTGATCCACGTTCTTGTGGTCATATTGCGACCGTACTGGCCTAGGCGAGCCCCTCCGCTGGAACCGTAGCAGGAGCATCGGCCATCGCCGCGTTCGTGAGGCGCCTCTCGCAGGTAGAGGCAGCAAGCCGAGCCGTGATGTAATCTGCCCTCGGTCATGACCAGGGCAATACTTGAAACGCATCTAGACGATGCATCCTTCCGTGGAGTTGCCCAGTTGTGTGGTGCATAGGTGGTGGGCGAGTAGAGGAAGAGGCCGAAACAGAGGAGGACGAAACGAGGAGGAGGAGGAGGAGGAGGAGGAGGAGGAGGAGGAGCCGGAGATGACCGAGGATGGAGAGGGGTGTCCGGGGTGCCGAGGACGGGGTGGAGGCTCTCTGGCGGGGCTGGGCGTCTGCTTGTTGCATAGCCTGGGTGCCTGGGGCAGGAGGATGGGGAGGGGAGGAGGGGGAGGCAGGGGGCCAATGGTGCTCACAGGCGGAGGGCGAACTGGGGGACTCGAGGGCTGGAGGAGGACTGTATGGGGGAGGTGCGCGACTATGCCGGGTGGCCCTCCCGGAGGAGTTCCGCGACGAGCTGTCGCTGGGCCTCGAGGGCCTCGCCAGCCGCATCTCCACCCTCCCTCCTCATCCCTCCTCATCCTCACCCTTCCTCCTTCGCGTCCTTCCTCTCCTTCTCCTCCTCCGCCTCCCGCTCCTCCTCCCTCTCCTCCTCCTCCTCCGTCTCCTGCCCTTCCCCCGACTCGTCCCCCTCCTCCTCGTCCGCCTCCTCCTTTCCCCTTCCCCCTCCTCCACAATTGCACAATATGAATACTGTTTTCCTCTCTCCCCTGATGACGTCTGGAAGATGTTCAGCCCCCCTCCGCGTGCTGTTTTTTTCCACCAGATTCTTGGGAGTTGGGTTTTCGCTTGGGTTGTTTCTCAAAATGTATTTCCCGCTGCAGCGTTGGACTCATTTTCGGGCTTCCGC